GTTTTTATGCATAAAAACATCAATAATTACAAAATTTTCAATCATTTTTGCGTTTTTGGTCGAAAATGCATGAAAAATGGTTAAAAAAAGCTCAAAATTTCGGCATTTACAATTTTTGAAAAATATTTTTGTGACTTTCTAGAAAGCAAAAACCACTAAAAACACTAGAAAATACTCTCAGGTGCAGAACGCAATAAAAAATATCCCCCCCCCCCACTAACAGTCCAGTACCACATTTTCGCTGTGAATTTCAGGCGCACCCGGGGGTGGTCGAGCGGATGGCTGAGGTGAACCTGGGCGCCGGCTTCTACATGGAGCGCAAGGATGACGACAAGCACGACGTGAACGTGGTCGACATGCTGCGCGCCGAGATCGGCGACGGGCAGGCCGACGAGGTCAGCGAGTTCAGCTAGCCAGCGGGTGCAACTAGCCAGTTGTTTCCTATAAGTCCAGCAATTAAATAATTACAGCTGGCAAATAGAAAAATAACAAGGGATTTAATAGAATTTTCAGCTTAATTCAACTATATTTAAACCTGTCTCAAAATTTTGACAAATTTTTCGAAAAAAATCGTCGGATTTTTGTAAAAACGGGCATTTGGTCAAAAAGGTCATTTTTTGTGAATATTTGTAGAGTTTTTAAGTTCCGGAAGAGCAAAAAGGGCGGAGAAATACTTCCTCTATTTATTTGATAAAATTTCGATTCTTAAAAATGTTGTGTCCCCCCCCCGATAATGCAAAAGAACCCGGTGATCTAGGTGCCGCCGGAGCTGCCGGAGGTCGGCAGCCAGCACACCTACAAGAGGATCGTGGTCAGTCCTTGTCAATAAATTATAAACGTAGCTTTTTACATCGCTCCATAACATCAAAATTCTATAGCCTAAAAATCATTTTTTTCAGGACGTGCGCTGCGACGCGAGCCACGTCGTGCTCGTCCCCTCCTGGCGGCCGATCCCGAAAAAGGTGAGTCGGAGGAATTAATCCAAGAGTTTAAATTATTGTACTTTTTGAAGACCTAAAAAACGTATATATTTTTAAGAAATTGTTTGTTTTCAGCCCTCGCTCAAGCGGGTCTCGGTGGATGAGGCGCCTGACTTCTACCGCCAGGTACCGCTTTTGCAAGTTTTCTTGTTTGGAGCTCTCTCTCTCTCTCTCTCTCTCTCTCCCCCCCCCTCTCTCTTTCTCTCTCTCGGCTTAACTGTTAAACGCCCTTTAAAGGTGGAAGACGGACAGTTGACGAACGGATGGTTGAAGAAGGACATGCCCTCCTTGTGGAAATCTGAGTCTGCTCCCACCCAGGACCCCGCCTCGGGCTGGGGAGGACCATGGTTTTAGACATCCAAGAATTGTGGGTTTTTCCGCTTTTGAGATAGGCAGGCTAGCAGAGATCCGTTGGGAATGGAAGGAGCAGGCTAGCAGAGATCATTTGGGACTACTGGATAGAATTTTTCAGTTGTGATGATGGAATGAAGACCATCTCCCTCCAGATCTCTTCATCCAGCCCTCTCTCTCTCTCTCAGACCGGCTACCTCGTCCACCAACCAGAAAAAAGCCCGAACCCGCAGCAACCAATCGACTATTAATTCATGCTCCACTGTTTTTTCTTTGTATGTCCAATGATTGCTGGCCTCGGTGTCCGATGATAAATAATTTTTTTGGGAATTTGACGGTGTGGCTGTTTTTCTCTCTCTTCCGCTCTTCCTCTCTATCTCGCTCTCTCTCTCTCTCTCTCCTCTCTCTCTCTCTCTCTCCCTCTCTCTCCTCTCTCTCGCTATCTCTCGCTTCTCCTGTTCGGTGGCGTTCGAATGGTTCGGCCTCCCCATGGCTTGCGCGTCAGGCCTAGAGTACGGTTGCTTTACGGACATGCTATTTTTTAGTCCAAACACACGCGAAACCTTTGTCGTTAGGTTGGCATTTTTCTTTTCCGGGCTTCGGCTTTATTTTTGCAGCGGAAGCTTGCAAAATCCACAAGAGACGCTCTCATAAAGTGAAGCCAAATTTACCTCAGTTTTCAAAGAGCGCCGCATCTTTTCTAGAGTAAAAAAATCCGCATCAAACTTGCAAAACGGATTCATAATCAGCGCAAATTTGCCGATCTTTTCCAATTCCAATTTTCCGAATCGACTTTCCAATTAGCGGTTTACCGATTGTCGGGGGAGGGGTGGCCATTTTGCCGCTCGAACACTCGCAGCGCGTTGATTTAGCAGATACGCGCCCTGACGATGGTCTTTTTGTCGCGCAAACTTTTTTGCAACAACGGCTTGCAAACCTCAAATTCCCAAAAAGATTTATTCAATGCAGACACCAGGAATAAAACCGTAGCGGGGGGAGGGCACGGATTATCATTTACAACCGGCGAGGGATAAGAAGGGTTTGTTCGTTTTTGTCGAGTGGCTAGGGGGCGGGAGATACGTCGGGGTTAGATTCCATCATTTCGCAGGCGAGATCTGGAAAATTGAGATTTTATATGTATTCCCAAATGATCTCTGCTAGCCTGCCCCTTCCATTCCCAAATGATCTCTGCTAGCCTGCCCCTTCCATTCCCAAATGATCTCTGCTAGCCTGCCCCTTCCATTCCCAAATGATCTCTGCTAGCCTGCCCCTTCCATTCCCAAATGATCTCTGCTAGCCTGCCCTTCCATTCCCAAATGATCTCTGCTAGCCTGCCCCTTCCATTCCCAAATGTCTCTGCTAGCCTGCCCCTTCCATTCCCAAATGATCTCTGCTAGCCTGCCCCTTCCATTCCCAAAATGATCTCTGCTAGCCTGCCCCCTTCCATTCCCAAATGATCTCTGCTAGCCTGCCCCTTCCATTCCCAAATGATCTCTGCTAGCCTGCCCCTTCCATTCCCAAATTCTCTCTGCTAGCCTGCCCCTTCCATTCCCAAATGATCTCTGCTAGCCTGCCCCTTCCATTCCCTAAATGATCTCTGCTAGCCTGCCCCTTCCATTCCCAAATGATCTCTGCTAGCCTGCCCCTTTCCATTCCCAAATGATCTCTGCTAGCCTGCCCCTTCCATTCCCAAATGATCTCTGCTAGCCTGCCCCTTCCATTCCCAAATGATCTCTGCTAGCCTGCCCCTTCCATTCCCAAATGATCTCTGCTAGCCTGCCCCTTCCATTCCCAAATTCTCTCTGCTAGCCTGCCCCTTCCATTCCCGAATGATCTCTGCTAGATAGCCGTAGTCTCGGCTATAAATAGACAACACTGAAAACTCACAATCTCGCGTCTTAAAGCCAGCGACTCCGACGGCTCTGGCCCTAGTACAACGGCCCTAGGCCGAACCGGATAGCCTCTTCAAGGAAAGCTCGGTCGAGGATTTGGGGAGCCCTATGGCGCAAGTTCACCGAATTCCATTTGGCCGTCAGCTTCCCGTTGGCAACCTGGAAGCGGCGGGTGGACATAGCGGGGGAGATCGAGAGAGACAGAGAGGGAGAGAGAGACAGAGAGAGATAGCTAGAGAGAGAGACCGAGAGAGTGAGAGACAGAGAGAAAAAAGCCTACCATGCGGTAGAAAGCGGCGGGCACGGGGCCCGGATCGTGGCGCCACTCCTAGAACTTGCCTTTACCCAACGACCTCGTGCTCACCGGCTTGGCGATCGGACGCCAAGAGGGGACGAGCAGGACAGTGTGAGAGTTGCAGTAAATCTCCTGAAACATCGATATTTTGGCCCCCACATAACGTTCAGCTACCACGAGGCGAAGGTAGTATTGGCGGTCGCTCGGAGGCGGGAGACGCGGCTTCACCTGTAAGGCGTAGGTACTTGCCCATTATCGGGGGGCAACTTTTTTGAAAAATAAATAGAGGAAATGCTTTCAAAGTGTTTTTCTTACTATTTCCAAAAGCAAAAATGTCAAAATTTCATCAAATGTTACAAAAAAATGAGTGATGTCGACGAAAATTTCGAATTTTTCATTTTTTAAAAGTTATCCAATCGTTTTTTAGTTTTACTGGTATTAAATACTGGTATTATTAAATTATCTTAGCAGGAATTTATAAGACTATAGGAAAAAATAGCTCTCCCCCCCGATAATGCCTAAGATTCTGACGTTGTTCACCCTAGGAAAAACGCAAATATTTTCCTAAAAGCTACATAAAAACTCGCTGACCTCGCCCTCCATGCCGTCGCCAATCTCGGCACACAACTTGTCGACCACCTTCACGTCGCGCGGGTCGTCGGTCTTTTGCACGTGGAAGAAGCCGGCGCCCAGGCGCACGTCCTCCAAACTCTCGAGGACGGCCAAGTTCGTCTGGAAGCAGTGGAATCGCACCGTAGTTTCCAGCCGCCGGACGTTCGTTAAAGGGGCTACGAAATGCCAAAAATTGAGTGACGGCCCGAAAATCGGAGTCCTGTACGTCGGAGGCCTCTATACGCCCAGGGGCCGGGAAGCTCGCAAAATTTGAAATTGCCTGTTGTCACCTCGAAATCCTGTTCTCGGCTGTTTCTGGGCCAAATTTCATGGTTAAAACACCAAAACTATTTAAAATTGCGTCAGGATTGCAAAAATGTGCTCAGATCTCGCGAATTATCGTGTTTTCACAAAGAAACCGGGCAAAAACAACTTTGCGCAAAAATCGAAAGAGTGAGGGCTCTCGTCCGGCAGCGCCCGCTGGCAATTTTCCAGAAATCAAAGAGGCCTCCCAAAAGGGCTTTGATTTGGCAGTTCGGAGCCCCTTTAAGTAAAAAAAAACACAACCCCCACCAAGAACACGATGACGCCGCGGAGCTGCGGGTCCCCGGCAGTCGTGTCGTCGCGGAACGTGTGGACCGCAATATCAGCCACATCGTTTTTCTTGTGGCCCATCATGTCCAGCTGCGTCTCGAATTGACTCTGAAAAATCAACTATAACAATTTTTTTGACTCGTTCGTCCGTCCGTCCGAAGCCGAGTTCAACTCAAAGGGGGAAAGGAGCTAGAGCTTAGCTCTTTTCGGATTCGGGTAGAGCGTGGTCAGAAACCCCCAAACTGATAAAAAAATTATGAAAAACTTTTAGTTTAAACCAGGGTTGAAAAGCCGCTTCGCGTCTTTTCAACCCTGGCCCCCGTCTAGCGTCATAATATGCTTCATTTTGCATAATTCTCGCGAATTCCGATGACAGAAAAATTGAAAATATCTCCCCCCGCCCATTATATAGGCTCGCGCCATTTCCGGCATATGCTAATTGATTCCTAACAAAGTGGGTGCTCCATTTTCTAACAAAAACGTAATTGTAACGTCGAAAATAGCATAATTTGCAAAATCTGATGTGTGTGCAGTCATCTCAACGCCATTACGCACCTAATGACGTATAATACGTTGCTTAAAACCCTTTCCCTCTATCCTCCGGACACCCTGACGGAAGTTGCATGCAAAGTAGCACACACACACAAACACACAGACACTATTTTTTATATATAGTAGGATTATTAAAATTAACTTTGAAAGTTTTGCTTAGTAAAGGGTAAGAGACGGAAGTTGGGGTGATTTGGACATAGTGAGCCAGGCCCTGTGATCTACAGGTGTTCAAAGTATACCAAAATACTCGACAGAGCAAGACGAACATTTTGGTATACTTCCAGCACCTGTAGATGAACAGCGAGCCGAGAGACGGTAGGTGGGGGTCGGCTGGGGAGTGTTTTATTAGGACACCCTGTAGAAATGATCAAGCCTCGCCCCACCTTGAGCGTCTCCATGATCTTGGCGGCCTCGCCGTCGGCCATGCCGTGGCTGTCAAAATACACGCACACCGTCTCGTAAATTGTGTCGGCGTTGCGGCAGTGGTTGGTGGGACGGGGAGACGGGCCAAGGGGCGGGATCCACACCTCCACCTTCACCGGGCCGTCGACATCCTCATCGTCGTCCGGCTTCTGCAGCTTCTGCAACGCCTCCAGCAGGACTGGTAGCGCCCTGTCATGGGCCTTTTTCGCGATCTCCTGGACTTTTTCTAGCATCGCGTCGGGGCGCATCTGGAAACCACAAAATCCGCTCCTTTCGTATTAACGGGGGGCAACTTTTTCTTGATTGAATTTAATCCTTTTAATCCGAAAGTTCATTTTATCGGGCTTTTTTTACGTTTTTTAAACAAATTCGACAAAGTTTAATGAAGACTCCCCGTATTCTCGCCGAAAAAACTGACCGGATGTAGTCCAATGAAGCGCTGCCACTGCTCGATGCCGTCGTGCAGCTCGTCGTCGAGGCTCTTCTCCAAGGTGTCGTCGAACAGCGAGGTCGACAGGCGGCCGGTGAGCACCGTGTATATGTGGTGGATAAACTTCATGGCGTGGGCGTCTAAGAAAAGGATCTTTTGCATTATCGGGGGGACCGAATTTTTCGGTTCTGGACTGTTAGCGGAGCGATTTTTTTGCATGGGGAACGATGTTTTTTGTTTTCCACCTATCTGGTGATCGTATTTGATGTGTTTTTGTGGTGTTTTTAGTAGTTTTAGATTGGAAAGTTACAAAAAATATTTGGAAAATTTGAAAATTGGAACATTTTGACTTTTTTTTGTTCATTTTTATACTCAAAATGCAAAAATTTCGAGAATTTTGCTTTTTTAGATTGTTTTTATTATATCGAAAAAACTATTTAAATGCTATAAAAAATGCTCTTTATTTTGTTATAGGTCCCTAGAGAATCACAGGGAAAAATTTGTGCGCCCCGCTAACAGTCCAGAACCCAAAAACCCGCCTGCACCACGCATCCGCAACCGCCGGCCGCCTGGGACGGGTATGGCCTTCGCCTTGCGCAGCTTCTCCTCCGCGGCGACGACCACCGAACCACTTATGAGCGCCAGGGTGATCTTGAGGTTTTGTTCGGTCGGCGCGCTGCCCTTGACGGACTTCTTCCAGGCGCGGATGGCCAGGCTCAGCTTGCGCTCCCAGTGGCCCGGCACGCCGGCGAACAACTTGTCGTCGAGGGCCGCGCACACCGCCAACACCGTACACAACTCGGGGGTCATCCCGTCGGCCTCTAAAATGAATTAAGCCAAAGCCTAAGCCAAAGTCTAACCTGAACCTAAGCCGAAGCCTAAGCTTAAAAACGCTCAATCATAAGCCTAAGCGTAACGTAAGAGCGTAAGACTAAGCTTAGGCATAACGAAGCCTAAGCGTAAGCCTAACCTAAGCGTAAGCCTAAGCCTAAGCCTAAGCTAAGCTTTAGCCTGAGCTAAGGCTAGGCCTAAGCCTAAGCCTAAGCCTAACCTAGGCCCAAGCGTAAGCCGAAGTCTGTAAGCCTGACCGACGCCTAGACATAAGCCTAGGCCTAAGCCTAAGAAGGTTAAGCCTAACTGTTAGGTTAACCTTAAGGTAAGTTAAGCCTAAGCCTAAGCATACTAACTGTAAGCCAAATCTGAAGCCGAAGCTCAATCGAAAGCCTATGCCTAAGCGACCTAAGCTTAAGCCTAACCTAGGCCTAAACCTAAGCCTAAGCCTGACTAATTCAGCTTAAGCCGAAGCCTGAGCCCAAGCCCAAGCCGAAGCTTAAGCGTAAGCCGAAAAATAAGCCTAGTCCTAAGCTGAACCTAAGCATAAATTTGCGGTTATTTATTTTATTATTTCCGCACCTTTCTTCGCGGGACGCTTGGCGGCAGCTTTCTTAGCTCCCTTAGCTCCCTCAGCTCCCTCAGCTTCCTCGTCTTTGGCACTCGTTTTTGTTGCGCCTGAAATTTAGCAGATCAGCATTTTAAAGGTGTTTGTGGGCAAAATTTAACCTATATTTTAAGGGGAGAAACACCACAGCAAGGTTATAAATTTTTTTTAGGTAAAATAGTTCTTTTCTTCGGGAGTTTTTAAGTGCCATTCGATAGATTCGATAGTTTTTCGCATATTACCTTAGAAAAATTGGAACTTTAGAGAAAGTGCCCCTCGAGACGGTAATATCCAAGAACTAAAAATTTAGCTTCGTTAAATTTGTTATTATTTTGTAAATTCGTTGTTTTTGCTGTTTTCGTTTTTCGCACTTTTATTTGCGGCAGGTGCCTTACTTTGCGCTTCTCCTTCACGGCCGCCTCTTGCTCGCCTTTCTCCTGCTCGCGCCGTTCCTGCTCGCCCGCCTGCCGCTTGCGCTTCTCCTCCTCGCGCTTCTCCTGCTCGAGCCTCTCCTTCTCGCGCCTCTTCGTCTCGCGTTTCTCGTTCTCGCGGGCCTCCTTATCGTGCGCCTCCTGCTCGCGCTGCTCCTGCTCGCGGGCCTCCCGCTCGCGCTCCCTGCCCGGGCCTCTCGCGCTCCTGCCCGGGCCCCCTCCCTCTCTTGCTCGCGCTCCGCCCGCTCGAGTCTCTCCTTCTCACGGACCTCCTGCTCGCTCCTCTCCGCCTCGCGCTTCTCGGTCTCGCGCGCCTCTTGCACGAGCCTCTCCTGCTCGCGCGCCTGCTGCTTGCGCTCCACCTGCTCGCGCCTCTCCTTCTCACGCGCCTCATGTTCGAGCAGCTGCTTCTCGCGCCTCTCGTTCTCGCGCACCTCCTGCTCGCGCTGCTCCCGCTCGAGTCTCTCCTTCTCACGGGCCTCCTGCTCACGCTTCTCCTGCTCGCGCTTGTGCTGCTCGCGCTTCTCCTGCTCGCGCCTCTCCTCCGCCTGGCGCCTCTCCTTCTCGCAGGCCTCCTTCTCACGCCTCTCCTTCTCGCGCTCCTGCTTCTCGAGTCTCTCCTTCTCACGGGCCTCCTGCTCGCGCCTCTCCTCCTCGTCGCGCCTCTCCTTCTCGCGGGCTTCCTGCTCGCGCTTCTGCGGCTCACGCTTCTCCTGCTCGCTCCTCTCCTTCTCGCGTCTCTCCTCCTCGCGCCTCTCCTTCTCGCATCTCTCGGTCTCGTGCCTCTCCGTCTCACGCTTCTCCTTCTCGCCCGCGTCCTGCTCGAGCAGCTCCTTCTCGCGCTCCTTCAGCTCGTTGCCTAGTCGATGCTTTCATTATGTTTTTAGCCATTTGTGGTATATCCGTGTGTGCGTGTGTTTCTGTTTTTCGCACCTTTGTCTGCGGCAAGTGCCTCTGCTTCAATTTCGTGTTTTTTCAGTTCAGGTTTCGACAGGTCACGCAGACTCCTTTCCGTCTTCTTACCCCAGATGTAGCGGAACAGCATCGTCGTTACGGCGATGAGAGCTAAAAGTTGGGCAAGTTGGTACGAGGGCAGTTCACCCCCACCCGCCCAGCCGGCCCCCCCCCCCACCTTTGTATCTCGGTTCCCTGTTGATCTACAGGTGTGTAAAGTAGACTAAAATGTTTGCCTTGCTCTGGCGAGTATTTTGGTATACTTTACACACCTGTAGGTTAACGGGAGCCGGGCATACGGTAGGTGGGGGTCGGCTGGGGAGAGGGGGGTTCTGGACTGTTAGGAGGGGGACCAAATTTTTTCCTGCGATGCTCTGCGGCGTATAAACCGTTTTATAGCACTTTACAAAGCTTTTAAAGGCTCCGGTTTACTTTACCCCCCAGCCGGAAGTTTTTGGCTACAACTTTTTTATTTTACATTATTGTAGGCTCAAATTAAAACTCTTAATATATTTTTCGACGCTTTATCGAATGGCGTTGCAAAAATCCCGACAAAATAAGCGAAAATACCGACAACTTTGAGACCCTTCGGCTGTGGGGGGTAAAGTAAACTCTTACCAATACATAATATATCATCAACCGGTAGGGATCGGTGCGAAAACAAAAGGTGGTTTTCCGCTAACACCACCGCTAACAGTCCAGAACCGGGCGACTTTCTGGCTCAAGTCTAGAAACCCCCAGCCGACTTTTCAACTTTTCTACCTTCCTTATTATTATTTTTCGCTACTTTTTTCGACTGAACTGCAATGTAGTCTTACTAATTAGCCTACGGTGAACATTTTGGTATACTTTAGAGCTCGCTAGCACAAGGGGGCCGAGATAAAGTTGGTGCCGGCTGGGGTTCTAGACTCTTACCCTTTCTTTCTTTTGTAAGTGTCTCGATACCTACCAGGAATCAAGAGGTAATAGAAGATGGCACCATCATCGGCCAGCGCTCGCCAGTCGAACGCCACGTCAGCCATCGAGCGGGTAGCAGGGAAGAGTAAATGATTTTGCGGCTTCCGGACTCTTCGTTTTCCGGGCCATTCTTGCTATTGTTTCATGCAAATCACCTTCAGAAATACGTCATTCAAACCATCAGATATTCTACTTTGCTGACAACTCGCGAACTCTCGACTCATTTTGCTTGCGTAATCGGTTCCAAACCACAAAAATGATTTATTCGTTGCCACAAATCGAATTGCATGAAAGAGAAAGGCATTTGGCGGTAGTTTGTTTCTTGTTTTATCCAGTGGCCGGAGGGCGAGAGAAGAAGAGGGTGAACTTGACTCCATCGCTTCACGTATTTCCGCTTCTGAAAAAGTTGCACTTTTTGGGGGCTGATCGTTATTTTATAGCGTGTTACCAATTCCCAAATGATCTCTGCTGGCCTGCCCCTTCCATTCCCAAATGATCTCTGCTAGCCTACCCCTTCCATTCCCAAATGATCTCTGCTAGCCTGCCCCTTCCATTCCCAAATGATCTCTGCTAGCCTGCCCCTTCCATTCCCAAATGATCTCTGCTAGCCTGCCCCTTCCATTCCCAAATGATCTCTGCTAGCCTGCCCCTTCCATTCCCCAAATGATCTCTGCTAGCCTGCCCTTCCATTCCCAAATGATCTCTGCTAGCCTGCCCCTTCCATTCCCAAATGATCTCTGCTAGCCTGCCCCTTCCATTCCCAAATGATCTCTGCTAGCCTGCCCCTTCCATTCCCAAATGATCTCTGCTAGCCTGCCCCTTCCATTCCCAAATGATCTCTGCTAGCCTGCCTCTTCCATTCCCAAATGATCTCTGCTAGCCTGCCCCCTTCCATTCCCAAGTGATCTCTGCTAGCCTGCCCCCTTCCATTCCCAAGTGAGCTCTGCTAGCCTGCCCCGTAGTCTCAAACACCCACAATTCCTGGGCGAGGGGCTGCTGCTTCGGCTTCTCCCCATCCGTCTTCGACTTCTCCTTCTGCTTCTTTCCGGGCCTTCCTCGCATCAAGAGTGTCAAGCCAGCCACGGTCTCTTCGGTCTCGGGAGTGGGACATGTCAACGCCTTCCAGATCACCGACATCGCTTTCTTGGCAGCGCTTTTGGGCACCATGTAGAGAATTCGGCCAATGATCGCGTCGGCGGGCATCGTTTTCTCAAACTCCTCGGAGGCGCAAAAGACGGACTTGTCGAGCAGTTCGATGCGGGCGCTGCGCAGCGTCTTGTGCCACAGCGTCTCGAGCTTCAGCAGTCGGGCGGTGCGCTCGGCGCGCGGGATGTCGGCTCCTGAAATTTGGGGTTGAATTCGGGGTTGAATTTACCTGCGGTACCCTCGATGGTGAGCATGTGGTCGAGCTTGACGGCGCTGGCGCGCAGCTTGTCGCACTCGACGGTCAGCTTCTCCTGCATCTTTTGCACCAACGGGACCGCGTCGTCCGGCAGCATCAGCTTCAGGCGCGTGATTTTTGGTCTAAAAAAATAATATTTAAAACTAGGTACTGTTGCAATATCGGGGGATGCTAGTTTATCGGGATGGGAAGACATTTTTTTATAGGAACGAATTTTTGAATATGTTTTTAAAGGGCTGGAGAAAGATGGGTCGGCGTCCGTCGGGGTGACGGACCGCCGCGGCGCTACCATCGACGCTTTCCCTCGCGTAAGCGCCCCCAAAGCCCCCTCTCGCGTTTGAAGAAACCAGTTTATTGGCTATAACTTTTTCATTGAGCAATGTTTTCAACTAAAAATTTCCTGAAACCAAGGACTTGGTGATACGCATCGATGGTAAAAATTTGAGCTGGATTGGATAGAAGGCGGCCAAGTTCTGGACGATTCGGGGTTTTGGGGCACTGTTTTGGCTGAAAAAGAGGCGCATAGACAGCAAAACACCTCTAGAAAGTTGCAAAGTACGTTGCTATCCTTTAGCAAGGTTTTCTACAACATTTCTTAGCTATTATCACCATGAAATTGCTTTATTTCTAATGGCAGTTCTTGTACAGGTGGCGAACCGCCCTAGGGTATGTGGGGGCCCTCCGCCGCCCCTCTTCACTCGACTCTCTGGTGTACTGGCTAGCGCATCGGACTGCGGGGCGGACCATCCCTGGTTCGACCCCCGTCCGGTGCGACCCTCTTTGCTCTTTCACCGATTCCATCTTTCTCCAGCCCTTTAAAAATTATTTTTTAAATTTAAATTATTTTCTTGCCCTTCTTAAGCGAATAACCGTACAAGTTTTTATGAAAAAAATGCAAAAAAAAATCGATTTTTTCGACCAAAATGAGCGTTTTTTACTTTTTGGAAAAAGTTTTCAACGTTTTTGGATAGTTTAAATATAGTTTTATTTTACTAAAAAACCGGATGAGAATACAGCCTATTAGGTTACTAGTCATTTCTAGATAGGTGCGAAAAAGGTAATCCCCCCCCCGATAATGCAAAAGAACCATTTTTTATAATTTTCTATGAACGAGAAACTAATAACAACGCTATGAAGCTACATGAGACTAACTGAAACGAAAAGAGGCTAAAACACCAACTTTTCAGACTCGACGCCTGGATCCGATCCCTCCGTCACAGACATCACATCACCATCGTCGACCTGCTCGAGCGTGATGTTGACCAATTTCGGGTCGACGCCCTTCTTCAGCAGCGCCTTCTTGAAGCCCCTCTTGAAAAATCCGGCCTTCCATCTGGCGGCGTAGTCCGACGTCTCCGAGGTGTCCGGGGCCAAGTCGACGTAGATGGAGACCCGATTGTCGTCAACGCCTTCTTCTCCTTCGGCACTGCCACCATGCCAATCTGGGAAAATGCGTGGAATCAGGTAGCGTAGCAGCACCGTCACGAAGATGATCACGCCTGAAGCAGCGTGAGCAAATTTAAACTAATCGACCCCTTTCGGCGACTAGATCTAGACAGCCACGCAACGGGCAGGCTAGCAGAGATCATTTGGGAATGGAAGGGGCAGGCTAGCAGCGATCATTTGGGAATGGAAGGGGCAGGCTAGCAGAGATCATTTGGGAATGGAAGGGGCAGGCTAGCAGAGATCATTTGGGAATGGAAGGGGCAGGCTAGCAGAGATCATTTGGGAATGGAAGGGGCAGGCTAGCAGAGATCATTTGGGAATGGAAGGGGCAGGCTAGCAGAGATCATTTGGGAATGGAAGGGGCAGGCTAGCAGAGATCATTTGGGAATGGAAGGGGCAGGCTAGCAGAGATCATTTGGGAATGGAAGAGGCAGGCTAGCAGAGATCATTTGGGAATGGAAGGGGCAGGCTAGCAGAGATCATTTGGGAATGGAAGGGGCAGGCTAGCAGAGATCATTTGGGAATGGAAGGGGCAGGCTAGCAGCGATCATTTGGGAATGGAAGGGGCAGGCTAGCAGAGATCATTTGGGAATGGAAGGGGCAGGCTAGCAGAGATCATTTGGGAATGGAAGGGGCAGGCTAGCAGAGATCATTTGGGAATGGAAGGGGCAGGCTAGCAGAGATCATTTGGGAATGGAAGGGGCAGGCTAGCAGAGATCATTTGGGAATGGAAGGGGCAGGCTAGCAGAGATCATTTGGGAATGGAAGAGGCAGGCTAGCAGAGATCATTTGGGAATGGAAGAGGCAGGCTAGCAGAGATCATTTGGGAATGGAAGAGGCAGGCTAGCAGAGATCATTTGGGAATGGAAGGGACATGCTAGCAGAGATCATTTGGGAATGGAAGGGGCAGGCTAGCAGAGATCATTTGGGAATGGAACGGGCAGGCTATGATGCGGAGAGCTGTCTAGACCTAGCCAATCTAAGGGGTCGATTTTGACGCGTAACAATTTTTCAGTAACGTACCAGGAGGAAGTATCATTTGGTAGAAGACGGTTCCATTCTCAACCAGCGCCTGCCAGTGAAACGGGAGTCCGGCCATTGAGACGGTTGTCGGCGAAGAATAACGCATTTTTTATAGTTCTCGACCTTGATTTTCATTCGGTATGCAAATTTCAGTTTTCGAATTTGCATAATCTGGTCCTGCCACGGTAGCTTTTGTGGGTTTCTCTCTCTCTCGCTCTCTTGCTCTCTCTCTCTCTCTCGCTCTCTTGCTCTCTCTCTCTTTCTCGCTCTCGCTTCCTAATCAAATTCACTTGGGAATTCTTTTATTTAACTTTTTAAAATATAATTGTAAAATAACCTCCAAAAAACACAATGATTTTATTTCGACAAGGAGAAATTCGAAAAGTCATATTTCATTGCATAGACGGACGGGGGAACGATAAAAGAAAAAAAGAAAGAAGGGGCCAAAAGAAAGAGCGAGAGACTCGATATCGGTTCTACGAACGATCGGTTTTCATAATAAAAAAACGCAAGCAGACAAGGAGAGATAAATAACTGTAGATGAGCTACGCGGCGGCGCCACGCAAGAAAAACGGGCCGCCGCTTTTTGGAATGTGTTTTTGGTTGGGTTGTATAGTGAGTGAGTGTGGAACGGGGGAGCGTGGGGGATAAGCTTCAGGGTTCAGGCGACGGAACGGACGATAGAAATTTCAGGGAATCTGTGGGGTCGGGATTTCGGTGCCGACAAGTTCGAGCTGTTCAGATTTTATCGAACTTAGGGTGAACTTCTTGGGAGTGTGCTTCCTTCCCCCTCCAGTTCAAGGAGGCCAACCGGAGTTTTTCTAGGCCTATTCGTGCTCCAGCCATCAGCCAGAGCTCGAGTTCGGCGAGTTAAAAGCAGAAACCTGGGCTTTAGCTGGTAAAACGCCCCGAACTTGAGCCTTTTCCAGAACATGGAAGAGTTCAGCTTCAGCCGAAGCGCCCCCACAAATAGGTTTTTCGAAGCCATAAGTTCCAAGGCCAACTCAAAAAAGTCAGAGCTCGAGTTCGGCGCGTTCAACGCAAAACCGGAAACTCGGCTAAAAACTCGTTGTAAAGCCCGAAAATAACAAGCCCCACCCCTGAACAGCTCGAACTCGACGTCAAAAAAAATCTCGACACCACAAACTACGAAAAATCGACGGAGCCAGCGAGTTCAATGTGTACATGTCAAAGTACATGTGTAGCCAGGAGAATAGGTGCATATATGCGCGTGAGTGTGCGTGCGTGTATGGTTCAGTGAAAGCCCAGTAATACATATTAATCAATCGACGAGACGGAGAAGTGAGGAGGGTGAGAGGGTGGAGTGGGAGACGATCAACAGGATGGCGGCCGGGTGCTAGTGGAATTGGGGTGAGCGACGACGAGGGTGAAGAAATGGAGTGAGAGCCGGACAATTGGCGGGTAGGGAGAACCGGGGGTACTGATCTGTTAGCGGCGGGGAGGATAAAAAATCGGCCAAATTTTCGAGATTTTCAAAAAGGTAATATTTTTCAATTTCGACCTTTTGTGACTTTTCAGAACTAAAATATCCAAAATTTTCGGTTTATTCAAACTTTTGCAAGCTTTTTTAATTAATTCTTTCCAAAAAATTTTTAAAACTATTATAGTGATTTAAGAATTGCTAAAAAGGCGATAAAAATAGTCTAAAATCCCAAATTTTGCCAGGTTCGTATATCATAGCAAAATAGCTTTTCCACCCCCGCTAAAAATCGCTTCCCCCCGCTAACAGTCCAGTACCGAAAACGTCACATAGCCTGATAATTCATCAAAAACGGGGCGTGATAATTCGCGATAATAATACCAAAAAACCCTAGAAAATCGCAGAAGAGAGGCGGGTGAAAGACGTGCGCTGGTCAGTGTTGAATTAGAATGCCACAAAAATCGTATGGCCAAAAAAGTTGCGGCTCAATTTTCAGGGGACAAGTACAAGGAGGACAAGCCCTTCCATGCCAAAAATTTGTGGCATCCCCTAGAGCATCCAGATGCGAGAAAAAAAAGCACAAACACAAAGGGGGAAACGGACAACAAAACGCAAGTGACATCGCGAAAAGTGAAGGACATGTGGCAGAACGGGGATCGATTATATATGGGGGAAAAACATTGATTTTGATGCACGAGAATGACGACGAGCCGAAGGCGTACGGCTAGAACTTGGTGCTCATCTTCTTCTTCAGCGAGCGCTTCCGGTTGGGCGTGCCCGAGCCGTTGCTGCCGCCGCTTCCGGTCGCGTCGGCGAGGCTGCGGTCGCCTGAAAAACCTATTTTAACTTTTACATTTTACAATTTACAAAGTTTAAACTTTACCCCAAAATTTTTTAATTTCCGAGATTGAAAAATGCGTTTTTAAAGGTGCTAGAAAATCAAATCGAAGTACTCTCCCTAATAATAAAATATAAAACATCTCTTAGCCTTTTCAGTAGTTTTTCTCCTTTGCTAAAAAATTTCAAAACTTTTTACAAGTTCTTTTAAAGCTGACTTTTTTGACAAATTTTTGTCAGTTTTGATAAATTTCCAAAATTAGACATTTTTCGAAATTTATAACGGCTTCGAATTTTTCGAACCTTCGATAAAAAGCGTTCCCATACCAAAAACAGTGAAATGCCACAAAATGATCAGACTTTTACTTTAAAACTTATTTAATTGGCTACGAACCGATTAAATGAACGTAAAAGTATGATGCTCACCTCCAAGCGAATGGGCCTGGCCGACTCCTCGCGTATTGGCCAGCACGGCCGGGTGGTCATCAGCATCAAGAGAGCCGCCGCCGAGAGTCTAAAAACATCAATTAAAATTATTTACAACACCATTTCAAATCCACTTTAAAAAAGCGAAAAATTGTAAAATCTGTAATTTTGTAAATTTGATAAAATTCCGATCGACATGCGCAAACGATAAGCCAGAAAAACGTACCGCCACCTCGTTGTCGCGCAGCGGGCGTACGTAGTGCGTGCGCCACGACCGTCGACGGGTGATAGCTTGTGCGGCCGTGTTCTCGTCGGTCTTCTCGGCGATCTCGGGGTGCGTAGTGACGGCCGGCCAGTGGCCCGAGTGGCGCTCCTAAAAATCGGCCGATTAAAAAACATTACATAAAAAAATACCTGGCCCTCTGTAGATTCCTGGCGACACGCGGATAGTGGTTGGCGCTCGGCGCTGTTCGGCAGGCTGGGATTGGCCGAGTCGGTGACGCTGCGAAGGGCAGGCTTCTGAAACAAATAGTTTAAATTCTCATAATCTTCAAATCGAACTTGGTATTTCAATTTCGCCAAAGAATTCCTGCTAGCCTGCCCCCGATTTTCGTAACAAAAAGGTTTGAACCCCTTGAAGTTGCGCGAATTAGTAAAAATTCAAAGATTCTGGGGTTTTCCCAAAGAATTCCTGCTAGCCTGCCCCCGATACACATGGCAAGAACCGTTTGAAGTCCTTGAAGCCGGAGCTAGATGGTCAAAATTAAAAGCTACGAGAATTTCGCAAAGACATTTTGCTAGCCAACCTCCGTTACAGCGGTCGTTCAACGCCTTCAAGCCGGGGCTAGATAGTCAAAATTCAAAACTTCTGGAATTTCAGAATTTCTCAATGAATTTTTGCCAGCTGGCCACCAGATTTAGACGCTATAAGGCTTGAACTCCTTCAAGTCGATGCCAAACG